CCCTGCGGACCCAGAACCCCGCGCCCCACGCCACTCCCCGCCGCTTAATTACCTTCGCCTCGGCCCCCGGGGGAGCCTCGCGCACGTCGCCCCCTCTCCGAGCCGGCACCGAGAGGGGAATTCCTTCCCGTTGACGTCCTCTTCCGAAATGCAAAAGATCAGTGACTTTGACAGGTAGACGAGGGGGAGGGAGTAGGGGTGGGCGGAGAGGAAGAGAGGATGAGAAAGGTGCCTCTCCCTCCAAAAATATAGTGATGTTAATAATGAAATCGCAGCCTTCAGAGGTCTGGCCAGCCCAGTCCCCTACTAGCTCGCTGTCCTCCGCGCCTCCCCGCGCCACTGCTCTGCCACTTCTCTCGCCTTAAACTTTTACTGAGGGATTGTTTTCTTTTTTTCTATTTCTATTTTTTCTTTTTCTTTCTTTCTCTCTCTCTTTTTTTCTTTTTCCTTTTTCTGTTTCTTTCTTTCTTTCCTTTTTTTTCTTTTTTTAAGCCTCAGGACGATTTTTCTGATTCCCGGGGATCAGAACCAGCGGCCCGGCGGTTCTATCCCGCTTGGCACCGCTTTCATTTTATTTCAGCTGAAGACGTTGAGCTTAGTCAGAAGGGGCATAAATCAGGACAATTAGCATTGGCGCCAAGAAGCTCCTCCAGTACCAGTCTCGCCCGGGCTTCCTCCGCGCATTCCTCCACTCAAGTCAGAAATGTCACAGCACATAGCGTTGAGGGCTGCGAGCCGCGACGCACCCCAAGTCCGTTTGATGAAATATACATGGCCCACGGTGCTTCTGGATTGCGGTTCCCGGGCTCCCCGCCCCCGCCCGCAGCGCCCGGCCCGGACCCTGCTCCGAGTGGGCAGCGAGCTCTCGGCCAACTTAGGGCGAGTGCGGATTCAAGAGTGAGCGCGAGGGCCTGCTAAGGGCAAGCGAATCAGCAAGCCCGCGGAAGCCGCAGCCCTCGGAGGGGTGGCAGGGACGATTCACTTAAAAGCAGATCTTCTGCAACTGCCAGCAAGTGGGAGGATCGCAAACCTTACACTACCTCCAGACCTGGGCGCTCCGAGCGGTCCTAACTCCGTCCCGCTCCCTCTCGCTGCCGCCGCAGCTGCTGCTCTGGCCGCCGCTGCTCGCTGTGCAGACCTCGGGGCGCAGAGGCTTCAAGCCCACCCTCCTCCCTGCCCCCCACTCCCGTTCGCCCACAGAAGCGCGGTTTCTAGTAACGCCCCCCGTACCTCCCACTTCTGCCCCCTCCCCTCTCGGAGCTGTCCACCCCTCAAAGCTTCCCAAACACACCCCTCGCCCCTAGAAGTGATCACTGCGGTATTTTTCAGCCAGCAATTAGTTTGCCCGGGGCAATACTCCTCTTTTAGAAATCCATTCACCTTTAGAAAGTGGAGGTTTCCCCAAGAGAAAGAAAAACGCCCTGGGGTCCCAGCAACGCGGCTCTTACTCTCTTGGGATCACTCTTAGCTACACGCCAACGTCTAATAAAAACTAATCCGGACTTGCGTAAGGTAGGTAGCGACTTTCACCAGACACAGAACGGTCTGTTCTCAGAATTAGGCAAACAATCTCAAAAGCAAACAGGAAGCCGCGTGTTCTTGTTTTCTGATATAGAAAAGGAAGTAGGGAAAAGTGGGGCAGATGAGGGCGAGGAATCCCTGCACACGACCCCCTCCCCGCCCCCGCTCCCGAGATTTGACAAGAAATGTATCTCTGAGGTCCAGAACTTGGGGATAAGCAGGCGTGCTCGCTGGTCCCCACTTTAGTGCCTGCTTAGATTTGGGGCAAGCTAAGGTTCAGGCGTCTGTGGGAGGAGAGAAGCCTGACTCAAATTTGGTCAACGCAAAGCAGAGGGTAAGAAGTGGGCAGTCGGGACACCTGAGCGCTCTGTGCCCCCTGGTGAAGGCGGGTAGGGGGAGGTTGGGTCATTTCTCTGTAAATACTGGAGTGGTGCTGACTGAAGGGTCATGGGGAGAAGGGTGTGTCGCCTTGAGCTCCCCTGGGTCCTGAGGGAAGGTGGCACCCCGGGCTTCCCCTTCAACACCTGAGACCCAACAGAGTCCTCCCTCTCTGGTTCCCTCAGGGCAGCGATTTAGGAGTTCAAAGCTTCCCTCCTTTCCACCTTTGTCCTTCAGCGCTGACATTGTAGAAAGAAGTCACCTACTGGGGGAAACTCCTAGGAGGGATTTATTTTATTTATTTTTTTTTTGCCTGGACCAGGTTTGAACCCACCGCCTCCAGTATAGCTGGGGCTGGTGCCAACTCCTTTGAGCCACAGGCGCCGCCCCCTAGGAGGGATTCTTAAACAGTGGCCATTCCTGGCTCTTCCCTCTCCTGGCCTTACTCCTCCAGATTTGAAATAAGCACCCATTCCCCACCTATGCCCAGTTCCCACCTGCACCCAGTCCCCACCCTATGCCCAGCCCCTACCCTATGCCCAGTCACCACCCTGCACCCAGTCCCCACCTATGCCAGTCCCTACCCTATGCCCAGTCCCCACCTATGCCCAGTCTCCACCTATGACCAGCCCCCCTGCACCTAGTCCCCACCTATGCCCAGCCCCCCTGCACCCAGTCCTCACCCTATGCCCAGTCCCTACCTTCTGCCCAGCCCTCACCCTATGCCCAGTCACCACCCTGCACCCAGTCCCCACCTATGCCCAGTTCCCACCTGCACCCAGTCCCCACCCTATGCCCAGTCCCTACCCTATGCCCAGTCCCCACCTATGCCCAGTCTCCACCCTGCACCAAGTCCCCACCCTATGCCCAGTCTCCACCTATGCCCAGCCCCCCTGCACCCAGTCCCCACCTATGCCCAGTCCCCCCTGCACCCAGTCCCCACCCTATGCCCAGTCCCCACCTGTACTCACTTCCCCCTGCACCCAGTCCCCACCTGCACCCAGTTCCCACTATGCCCAGTCCCCCATGCACCCAGTCCCCACCTGTACTCAGTTCCCACCTATGCCCACTCCCACCTGCACCCAGTCCCCACCCTATGCCCAGTCCCCACCTGCACCCACTCCCCCTGCACCCACTCCCCACCTGCACCCAGTTCCCACCTATGCCCACTCCCACCTGCACCCAGTCCACACCTGCACCCAGTTCCCACCTATGCCCAGTCCCCACCTGCACCCAGTCCCCCCTGCACCCAGTTCCCACCTATGCCCAGTCCCCCCTGCACCCAGTCCGCGCCCTATGCCCAGTCCCCACCTGCACCCACTCCCACCTGCACCCACTCCCACCTGCACCCAGTCCCCACCTGCACCCAGTTCCCACCTATGCCCAGTCCCCACCTGCACCCAGTTCCCACCTATGCCCAGTCCCCACCTGCACCCATCCCAACCTAGGCAGATGTTGTCATGTCTTAACCCTCCCCCCAGGTGCTCAGAGCCCAGTGCCCTCTATGGGAGCCTTTGGCAGTGGGACCTGAGAAACAGTACCCCTGGTGGGCTTCTCGCTTCTTGGCCCCCTGGCCTGGACTCTGAAATACAAATAGCTCTCAGCCTTTCCTCACCCTCCTGCCCTGGTCTCTCAAGCTGAGAAAGCCCTTTCTGAGCTTTCATTCTCAGCTTTCTCTGAGCGTTTGGGGGAGAAATCTATGCAGAGATTAAGAAATTAGGAAATTCCTGTCTGGAATATACCATGTGATGTTGGCTCCCAGTCTGGGTAATGCTTCATCTGTCAAAATCTTGGAACTAATATCCCTGGCTCTCCTCCTGGATCTTCCTTCATTCCCAGGCGTCATTTAACTCTGAGGCAGTGGTCCCAAACAAGTTTGCTGTGCAAAAGGGGACCCTCTTCAGTCCGGTGACATCTCCCACCGCAGGAGTGGCAGAGTCTTCCAGCAGTGAGTTTTTCTTTCAAACATGTGCTCTGACCTTTCACAGGCTCAGTGCATCACTAACTAAACATGTGGATCTAAGCTCTAAGGGGTAAATCAGAATCAGCAGAGACTTTGCAACATTAAAACTTCTTCCAGTCCAGATTTTGTTCCCTCCTGTAGTGAGGATAGGATGGAAAGGGCTTTTTCTCCAAAACAGCACTTTACACGGATCTGATATACTTCCTCAAATTAACATACGTGTATTAAACCAGCTTTTCTCACCATGCATTTGGGTATTTGTTTATGTAATATACACCAAACAGAAATTTACTTTGGATATGTTACGGACACCAGGAAAAATAATATAGGGCGTACTTACTTTTCCTTATCATTAGCTTCTCTGAGTGGAGAAGTTAAATATATATTTAACTTTCTTTGGAAGGAATGGTTTTTCCTTTTTTATGTAACCTTTCAACTCTACTTTTTTTTTTCTCTCTCCTTTTGGAGAAGAATGTTTTTTTTTGTTTTTTTTGTTTTTTTTCTCCAGTTCTCTGGCTCAGGATCTGTGGCTGGTTTCTATGCATTTCTTATCCTTCTTCAGTTTAAATCTCCATTTATTTGTAACCTTGTTAAGCCTCTAACTGTTGTTCATTTTCTTAGGTTCTTAGCTACCCGAAAACTTCTCTTTAGAGAGTTGGCAGGGTTATTTAAATACTTGTAACTTCAATATGCCAAACTGGTAGTGATGGCATGTTTGCAGTATGTCCGGTCCAAAAAGACATGTGTCTTTTCACAAAAAAAACAGTAAAGAACTTGACACAAGTAAGATAAATGTTCAGGGCATGTGTGATTAATTTTTGCCCATTCTTGGGATTTAGTTACAGCCTCCTTGTCAGGAGTAATGAACTCTGACCATATTAAATTAAGTCTTAGACGTGTGATATTCAAACCAGAGGTGTTTAGGGCAGTTTGTGCTATAATAACAAAGTATCATAGACCGGGTGGCATATCACCAATGGAAATTTATTTCTCATGGTAATGGAGTCTGGAAATCTGAGAACAAAATGTGAACATGGTCAGGTTCTGATGAGGACTTTTCATGGGCTCACTGCATTCTCTCTGTGTTCTCATATGGCGGAAGGAAGGGTAGAAAGCTCTCTGGGGTACCTTTGATAATGACACTAATCCAGTCTGTAAATATCCCACCCTCAGTACCTAGGCAGCTCCCGAATGCCCCATCTCTCAATACCGTCACAGTGATGGGTAAGATTTCAGCTGATGAATTTTGTGGGAAGAGAGAACCACCCACGACAAGGGGCCAATTCTATTTGACCAAAGATAGATGCTTTTTATAACTGCTGCTTGTGTCCCAATAGAAACATCCTTCCTAATCGTTGTAAAACCTTTAGTTCTTTCTTGCCTCACTTTGTGCTTGGGGACATGTTTTATTCCAGAGCCATTAACAGTATAGTTTTGACAGGTTTTGAAGTTCCTTAATGGACAGGCTTTCGAATGCTTAACTGTCTTGACATTTAAACTTAGAGCAAGCCCTCAGCATCTGGTCTGGGCTCTAACCTC